CATCTTCAGGATTGCTATGCTCACAGATACATCCTTTCATTCTGTTTCTACTTATAAATACTTCCACTGTTTAGTGAAGGAAATAGTTAATAAAAATTTGTACTCTGGGAAAATTTAGAATATCATTGCTATGCCCTAAAGCAATTGAGAATACTTGGATATATCATGATGTGTTTGTCAGGTTTGAGAGGCAGCAGAGCCTGGATTCAAGTCTGTACAAATCAGGCCAAAGAAGACTTTCCAAAACCCAGTGATCTTTCTAGTACCTCTTTCAAAACCTTTTGTTAGTTTTGAAAACTTGGACAGTTGTGAAATTCAGAGAAGAATTCATACATATATATCCAACTCTGCCTTTTCCTTCCCCAGTTGTTTGTCAACTACTTCTCTCTGAAATGCAGCTTTTTCCTAAACATTTTCCATGAGTTAGTGGTGATCATCACCAGGTCATCTTTGGTACTTTTTGTAAATCTTCTTAGCTGTTTAACTATGGAAATGCTCTGATTAAGACTCCTAAGAAAAATTAGGAATGAAGACTCCAATGAACAGCAGGGAGGCAGGAAATCAAGTATCAAGAAACTCAAATTTAGAGACTCAAAGAAATGGAGGTTCCTAATTCTTTATTTTTGGACTATACTTGTGGGAATGGATCTCTCCTGTAAGAAAGCAAAGTACTTTTACAGAAGTAGCTGTGATTTTGCCAGCATGTGGGTGATGGAATGGAATAAACTGTCCTTCCTGAACAATTGGCATCACCAGAACTGGCATCACCAGAAAAAGCAAATTCAAACTGCCATTATTGATGGTGATATGAAAAGTTAGAATAATTGGGAAAAACCCAAATCCTGATATTTCTCATTTTAATGCTAATTGAAGGATGGGTATAATTAGTCTACTTTGGCTCCTGGTGTTACTAGGAGGAGACAGGAACACTGGTTCTGTGGGGCCATGGCTTAAAGATGAATACAAGTATAACTGAATCATTGCAGAGCTGCTCTAAACTCTTCAATAAGTAAAGAAAAGTGGAGCAATGATGAGTCAGCATCTTTGTATCTGTATGGACATAAGTTTCTCTGACTCACTCAAGTACTCATGTTCATGGAAAAACCTGAATTTCCTAATAATTTCAGATCATCAGGATAACCTTGAGAGCAATCAAAAAACCCGGTGTGGAATTTAATTGCTGCTGTCCATGAAACTAATTGTTTGTGCTCAGCCTCTCATCTACATTCACAAATCATACCCAAAGTGCATGTCTGCACACTGACAGTCTTCTGCACCCTGTACTCTGTGATTCCACTAGGAATCTCATTAGGATTGTAATGGGGGTCATACCTGCATGAATTTTTGTTACACTGGAACATCAAAACCTGACCTGTGGGTCACTCTGTTTCTTGGGACCTTGCCTCTGAGTTTTGTGCAGGACTTTGATCTGCTAATCAAACATCCTTACACCATCTTAGCACTTAATAATAGGCAATCAAATAACTTGTGGTGTATTACAGAAAAAGAGTAAGCAATCCAGTAGAATCAATGGGCTGTTATCCAGAATTGCTCGGCTGAAGTGATGCTGTTTCACACCAATTTTCACTGAAGATAAAAGGGCAGATTCACAGGTCCATCAACTTGACAGGCACTGAACTAATCATCTAATGCAAGACTTCTCAATGGAAGTGCCTGGAGCACTCAATCTTTGCAGACCAACCTGAAAACTACAATTAGGTGTCTACAATCTGTTCTGTAGCTTGCATTTATTGCCAAACACTGTAAAGTAACTCCTCTTTTCTAGAGGACTATTTATAAAGGGGCAGAGTGGTTAAGTCAGGATAAAAGCTTTGTGGAATGATTTTTGAAGACTATCTAAGAAACACACTCCTCGAATTCAGTTTAAACTCGCACTTTTTGAGAGACCAGAGAGAATTTCTAAATTTTCTAGAGAAATGAAAGGAATTATCATATACATTGATGAAACATGTTTTATTCTTTTACCGCTCTTAATGGGATTGAAGTTGTTGGCCCCCAGCTCTGGTTAAAATTGCACTTGGTTTATTAACTCCTAAAATAATCTCAAATGAAAATATATGTTTGTGTGTTATTATGTGAATATTTAGGACTACAGTAAGATGTGGAATGAGTCAATTTTTAAGTCTGTTGTTAATATCTTTCTTGTATATAGAAAAATAAACAAATCAGCATAAACCACTTATTGTCTAACAGAAAAGCTGCTACAAATAGAGAGGGAAATGTTGACAATGCAAATTAATTGAATTATGACAAAAAATAAAGTATCAACTCCCCTTCTTCCACGTTCAAAAGCCTGCACTTGTCAAGAAATATTCTCCCCACAATTTCTCAACTGGCTCTGGCAACATACCAAGTCTAAACCATGCCAAATGAATTAGCTTAACAAAGGTGTAAATATGCTCAGACAAAAAGATCTAACACGTGACTGGTTTATGTGATGTTCTTTCAATTAGCTACTTTCCAATAAGCCTCAGTTTTAACTTCATAAGCCTCAGAATTCATTTGGCATTGGTGAATTCTCCTCCCCCTCAGTAATTAACTATTTAGCTGTGACTAATGAAAAAAGAAATGAAATTGCATATTGGTTTTATCAGAAGTTATAGATAATTAATTAATCATTGGTTCTATTTAAACTGGTTGAGTATTAGTATGAAAATTAAGTAATCAGTGCTGAGTTAGCTTTCATTTTCATGTTCTATATGCTCAACTGAACATATTCACAAACATTAAAGTTTATTCTTGTTATAAATACTCTGTAGAAAGTATTAATATTTTTGTCTTTAGTTATTTTTGAACATTTAGGAAGGTTTATGGCAGTTAAACTAAAAAAACTTTAAATGCATAAAGAAGAAAATCATAACTGGAGCTGATGCTACACAAATATACAGTACTAAATAGCGGGTCATTATACCCTGTTTAACATTGCAAACTGGTATCATCACGATGAACAAAAATGCTAAAATTTGTCATGTTTTCTTGATCCATAATGTGATCATAAAGTATTTTTTCTCCTAAATTGTCCATTCACCAAGTATGTTTAAAATGTCACAGACTATTTCCTATTGCAACTATCAAAAGCAGCACGACACAGTATGAAAAGCATTTTATTTTAAATAAATATGTTTTATTGTAAGTATTTTGACCCGTGTCTAAGTATATTCTCCATGTCTATATTAAAGGAGAAAATCCAAGGTCAGTTATAATAATGAAGAAGCTACTTAAGGAGCAAGGGATCTGCAAATGGATAGGACAAGTGTAATAAACACCAGTTTAAGATCATACTGTGGGCACCAGAAGGCACTGAATGTGTGTTCAACCTTAGGACTTCTTTTTCCTATTTCTTAAAATATCATGCCAGTTAGAAAAAAATATATACAGACACAGTTTCATCCTATTCTACTCCAGGGATTTAGGATTTTCAGTATTTCTGCCATGTGGGAGGATCGAGGCTCCCCAGAACACCAGGCTGCCTCACGCAGGGGACTGAGCCTTGCACACACCCAACACCCCAAGGACAGCAGGGCTCCCCGTGGCACCACGCGCACTGCAGGACCTGGCACTCTCTCATTTTGTATTTTTCGGGAAAATGAGTGGGCTCTGAACTAAGCCTGCTCTTGCACAGGGCCTGGAGTGTTCCTCGTCCTTTTACAGCCCAGTTGTTTCCGTGAGCTCAGTGGGAGCTGCTGACTCCACGGAGCTGATCAGTGGGGCTTTGCTGCGTGCTGCACAGCAGCCCATGCCCCTACTGACCCAGGAATTGTACTGCTGCTTTCTGCCATAGCTGCGGTCTGGTCTGTACTCACAAAACAGCCATTGCAGATACATGGATAAAATGATACTAAAACACTGAACTAAAAATAAACCCTGATAAAAAAAAAAAGTAGATTTTTTTTTTCCTCATCCTGGAAATGATCATGCTGGATTGCATTCTTTAGTGTGATTTTCAAAGATTTCATGGTCTGCTTTACAATACTGGATTTTTTCTGAGATCATTTATCAGTCCATAAATTTTTTGAATAAAAAGACATCCATTTTTCTATTGCCTTCAGTATTGAGGAACAGTAAAATAATTCTGTTAAAGTACTATAATGTCTCTTTAGTTTAGATAAAAACACTTAGGAAAAAAAGAAATCTTCCCTTCTCCGATATTATTTATAGGTATTTTCTTTCTGTATTTCCAAATAGTCTCTTGCATTAATGCATTCCAATGACACTCAATTATGCAGTCCTATTTTAACTCTGAAAATGTCCTCACTTTTGACTCGCCATTATTGGCAGACACAAAGTATTTATGTTGGATAAAAGCAATTATGGATACCTTCATTGCCCAAAATCTAATGCCAATGGCATTTTTCAAGTATTCTATGACTAGTTTTCACTAATGTCATTTTTTTTTCCTGTGGAAAATCATGAGAATACTCTCCCTTATCCAGATTCAGTTCTGCAGTAGAAATGACAGAAGTGAGAAAGAATGTAAAGTGGAAAGCTTTATCCCAACCAGTTTAAGCAAACCAAGGAAACATTTTTCTTAAAGATTTATTTTTGTGTGCATTAATGAATATAGACCCTTATTGAAAAAAGCAAGAAAGCACTCTCATGGTCAAGTGAAAAAGTAGCCTTTTACTCAAAAGCTCATTTACCACACTCAGATGCCATGCTGTATTTCCAGTGGAGCTTTCAGTATTGTAGGAGTCGATTGTATACTTGGGAAGGTATTTAAAAAGTGGCTAAAAGCGACTGGCGGTGTCACCTGACACGAAAAAAACCCAAAAAACCAAACCCAAAACCAAAACAAACAAGCAAAAAAAAAAACAAAAAAAAAAAAAAAAAAGAAAACCAAAACACCCAACGATCTTTTAACCTCCTTGTCGCTACGTCTGCAGCAAGCACGGAGGAAATTTGGGCTGCCGGCGGCCCGTAGTTCCCCTGGCAACCGGCAGGAAGCGTCGGCGGCGCCGCGGGGCCCGCGGGGAGCGGGGACGGCGCTGCCCGGTGCCCGGTGTGCCCGCAGCCCCGTGTGCCCGGGGGCGGTGGTGCCCGCAGCCCCGTGTGCCCGCAGCCCGGCGGTGCCCGGAGCCCGGCGGTGCTGCAGCCCCGTGTGCCCGCAGCCCGGCGTGCCCAGGCAGCGGGAGCCGGGGGCGGGACAGGGGCCCGGGGCAGCGGGGCGGCCCCTCGTGCGCCGCGGGGTCCCTGGATGTCCCGGGGCGCTGGGGAGGGCCGGGCCGGGGGTTCTGTGGGAACTCGTGGTTCTCTTCTGCGGAGCTGCTCTGCCTGAGCCTCTCGGCGGTGACGGCGCTCGGAGCCCCTGATGTGTTTCTGCCTCTGCACTCAGCAGGGTAAGGGAGCAACCTCGCCTTTCACATCCTCCTGACCTCCAGTCTGCCTGCCTTAAGTGACTTCTAGATCCCGAGCTCCAGGCTGCTCTTTTCCTCCTTTGAAAGATGTCTCTTAAAAGTGCTTCTCCTGTTTCTGTTTAAAGTGTCGCTCCTTTATTTGAAGTCTGCCAGTAGATGGGTCACTTCTGTATCAAACCTCGCTTGTTTGATTCACGGCTGCGCTTCCCCTGTCTGATCTCTACAAAAACGTGTGACCCTCCAGCTCCGCTCTGCACGACAGCATTCATCTCTGAAGAGTGAGACCTCCTTGTGAAAAGTGCTTTTTCTGGTCAGTGCTATCTAATGTACCTTAGTGTGTATTTTGATTACTTAGAAAATAGAAAAAAAAACCAAAAAAACCCCACCATCTCTATTACTTCTAAATACTTTTCCGAAAAAATATTTGTACTGGTCTTAGGAAGCTGACTGTATTATTTTGTACATTTCAAAGTCTAACACGGAAAGCACTATTTTGTGATACATGCTGCTACTGTCAAGAACTTATCTGGTGCTTTTAGAGTATGAAGCGATTTTGATTAATTTTCTGGTAGTTAAAAATCTATCTTCTAACACTATTCTGATTAGAATTTTATGATAATAAACGAACATACAAAATCAGTACATTTATTTCTATGTTAATGTTTTCCATTTGACTTCCATTTTACAGCAAGAATACTTCCCATAAGTGTCATGTAAGTTTATGTGAGTTCTGAAGAGATTTAATTGACTAATTGTGGCATATTCTTTCTTTTAAAAAGACTTTCAGTGGAGACAGGCCACATTCTGGAAATGGTAGGAAAGGTTTTCACATTATGTGGGCTGATTTGAATCACTAGTTCTGATTATGTCACCAGAAAAGAAGTATTGATTTAAGCTTTCAGTTTTAGTTTTGCTTTGTATTTTAGCTGATTTGCTAATCATTATTATATATTGTTTCATAGCATTCAGTAAAACTGGGCACTTCAGTGAATTCTTTTCACAAGTCACAAAGACAGCATATTGACATATGTGCTTATCACTTACCAGAAACAGAAACAATCTTAAAGATTTCAAAGTGTAGATGATGACAAAGGTTCCTGATTGGAAATCCTGTTCAGAGGGAAGAATTAGAATAGCCAACCTGAGCAAGGAGTGCAGGTGCAAGAGTTTGGCAGAGATTAGGGCAGGTGGCTGATAGAGCTGAGGGTGAGAGAGTAGCATGGCTGTTCTATCTCTGATTCATCCTGATCTCAGTATTTGACATTTAATCATATTTTTAACAAAAACAGGTGTCACCAAGGGTGATGGCTGGACAGCAAGCACACTGCTCACCCCTGAGACAATGTTTGTTTCTGTGTGTGGCTTCCTATTTTTTCATCTCTATATGGTGCAATTGCTTTTGCACAATAGGAATCTAATGTCTTATCTACTAAATTGTTTTTTTAAGTGCAAAATACATACACCACAGCAAAAATTACTGAATATTATAATATTCAAAACCAGGGTTTTTGCTATTTATATTTTTATTAATATTTGAAGTCTTGTAATCTCCCAGGAGTAATTTATATTCATCATAATATCAGACTTGGTATGGTAAATAAATAGAGAACTATTATTTTTATGAGGGACACTTCAACCCAATTACATGTATTTGTAGTGATATGTAGCTGGTGCATTGACTTACAGAAGATAAGTGTACTTAAATCAGTTTTAAATTATGGAGACAAAGTTATTTTTGCAGTCTTTTTAAAAAAGTACTTTGGTTCTTCTTAGTGGAATTGGAATTCATTTTCTGTGTTCTTTTTTTGCTGCCTTACATTTCTGTTCTCATGTCTTATAGATTGTGGTTTGGGTTTTGTGTCCTGAATGTCCTTGCTTTTTTCCTTCATCCTGGACGTTCCTCAAATTGTTGCTTTCTTCTGATGTACCTGTACCCGACCCTATTTGACTCTGGACTCTTCTTCTGAGGCCTGTACTGCTGCTCATATTTTTTTAGGCTGCCCTAAAAGCAGACTGTATCTAATTCACTTTTGCTGCAGGTCACAAAGAACACAAGTAAAGAGGAACAGGTTAGGAAATGTGTGCATTTGAAAGATGGACTGACAGGACTATTACAATTGTCCCATGCACTGTGTCCAATATATAAGAATAAGCATCTGTTTCCTAGTGCACTTGTTCAGATTTACTTGGTTTGGTTGTTCATGTCAGTCTTTGGGCCTGGGGATTCTAACCCTTCATATTCTGCATATATGAATGAAAATTATTTCATGTTTTTAATTTATTTTTTTTGTAGGAAGCAATGTTCTAAGAATGTCATCAGGCATCCAAATAAAAACAAAGTCTGCAGCCCAGAAAAGCAAGACATGTTCTCCAGAATCACAGCCAAAGCCTAGTGCTAAGCTGAATCCTAAAACTATTGATCCAGTACGTGTAGGTGGTGATGGTTTTCTTTGGTTAAAATCCTCTGTGGTTTGAAGAGTGCTCCTTACTTTATGAAATTGCATGCAGGACATGCTTCTTCTGGTCCTGTTTTTTTAAAGTGAAATTAAACTTTTGTTATTAATCATACATCCCTTATCTTCTAAGCTTAAATGCCTGAAGGTATAACATTGTTTATTACATTACTATAAAAATGTGTTTTGGTACAGTTGTGGCTTGGATGGGAACTGTTATTTTTTATGTACTATTGTCATAAAAAGGGATTTAGAGCTAAACATTAAAAAGGGTTGTTTTTTTTCTTACTTCTAAGCTTTGGCACCTGCTGCTTTAGAAAAACTTATTTCAGTTATGCAATGAATCCAAGAATCAGGTGGCATATTGAAGGTATTCAAGGGTTCATAAAATCTGGCAAATTAATTGCTGGTGAGCATTATTTGAAACTCACAGTTATTGTGACTATGTAATCCTTCAGGAAAAATTTGTGTTCTTGGGAGAGCAGTAATGAAAGGAGCTGTTTATTTCCTGCAAGTCCTGTGCCTGGAGAACTAGCAATGAATACACGAATTACAGTTCACCACTGGGCCATATAATTTGGCAATTAGTAATGTCACAGGCTTTTTGGAAAGTGAATGAAATGCAGGAGTACTTTACTGATAAACAGAGGCTGAATACTTTAATGTGGGCATCTTTTTTACTTGAAATCTCTTTGCAAGTAGCACAATGACCAAAATTAAGCCATGAACACAATTCTACTAATCTTAACGTAGGTTTAAACACTCAAACAATAACAATTGAGATTTCATGGTATTTCCTTTTGAATGCTTTGTGATAAGGTGTATTATCTGGGAAGCAGCATTAAATGTTCCTTTAAGAATATATAATAACTATATAATAATATAATAGTTCATATGCATCAGAAACACATTTATTATAAAAATGAAATTTGTGCAGCTCTTCCTTGCATGAAGGTCCCAGTTTCCTCTTCCAGTGTGTCCTTCTTAGATTCCCACCCAGTTTGAACCTCCTTGTGCATTTTCAGAGCCCTCCCACCATCTTGCCCAATATTTGGGGTTTCTCCCACATCTTGCCACCATATACTTTTGTCTATACTCAGATCAAGATGGAAGTAAAACTGCTTTCTGCATGTTACCAATATAACAACAAGAGCTCCCTGCTCTGCTTAGGAAAGAACCTGTAAGACTTTAATCAAAAGTGATTCCATAAGGAGACCACTGATTGTACATTTTTATGCATTTTAACAGTTCTCCAGACTGATGGGTTTTAAAAGCAGTTTTCAGATACGTGTATCACTTAAATGTTTTCCACTCCATAGCTGCAGTTATTTTATGGATTTGTTTTAGAATCATATGATTAAGTTCATTTTTTGGTTAACTTCCGTTTTAACATATTCATAATAGCAACAAAACATTACTGTTATAAATAAATAATGGGTTTTTTTTCTGTCTTCACAGTTTCGTGCTTATTCTCAACCATCATCTGCATTTGCTGCTACATATGCTAGAGGTGGCATTCCGTGCAGGTGTGTTGGGTTTGCTTCTTATTTTTATTAAATGTATTATGAAATACATCTCTTCATGTTTCATCCTTTAGTTAGGTTGTTTAATTCCATTCAATTCTGGAAAAATTTTCAATACTTAACTCTTTTCAGAGCAGCAAGCAACTTCCCATTGTCTTCTTTTGGTTCTTTTTTGATGCTGTATTAATATCAAAGCCACATTTTTAAAGAATAGTTAAGTATGTGCACATTGGGTTTCCTAAACATCTTTCACAAATTATTTTTTCAGGCAGTTATATTTATTTTGCCCTACTAACAAAGAAAATAAAATTAGCACTGTTTTAATAGGTAGACTTTTCACAGCCTTAGTAATATGAATTATTGTGTGTTATTGAATTTCCTGTTCTATAGTTTTCAGGCGTATCAAATATTAACAGAACTACTCACAAGTAGGTTTAGAGTATATTAAGTTACTTAGTTATACATTTGCCTAGACAATAAATGTTCTGGTGTTTTGTCACATAGATGCAGAATTTACAAAAATATAAACCATCATTAATAAGATGTATATGTATATAATTGTATAAAATAATCATTAATGCATAGTATTAATAAATTTATTTGTATCTTAATAAATAGTAAATTCCAATATTATCTTCTTTCAGTTTCAACTGCTTTCCCTTGCCCATTGCTATTTGAAGAAAATGTTTCTTGATATACTTCTCAAAATAAGTAAATTTAGAAAATTAATATCTTCTGTGTTGGCATGAGAGGTTTCTATAATTTTTGTAATTTCTATTTTCTGATTTCTATGTGATTAGGAGCAGAATTTTGAAAACTGCCATATTTTGGGAATTTAGTATAATTGCACTGATAACCATTATACATATACACAGGGTGGAATTCACGATCCCAGAGGTCTTTGCCAACTTAGTTGATTCTGTGATCCTATAATTTCACTAAGGAGAGCATTATGTATTGAGATTGTGTGTAATGTAGGAACATAACAAACTAATTGGTGACACATTTAAAGCAAATAGCGTTAACAATAAATTATGTATTATATATGCTATTTTGTTAAAACTTTATTCTTTTGATAGGTTAGTGCATGGATCAGTAAAACACAAACTTCAGTGGGAATGCCCTCCTGAAACTCTTCCCTTTGATCCTCTTCTTTTAACATTGGCAGAGGTAAACTCAATTTCTTGCAACATTAAGCACACAACCATTTCCTATTTGCAAATGTCATTTGCAAATGTGTTTTAACAGTCTAAGTTATCTAGTTTAGGCTCAGCTACTAGAGAAACATAAAACAAGAACCCACTTGTGAGAATATTCTATGAATGCAAGTGGTCAAGTACATTGCTATATGTAGTTCTTTAGTTAGAGCTTTCTGGGAGAGCTAGGTAGAACTGTTTAATCTTCAAGATACTGATCAAATGCAAGACTGCATCTCAGATGCCCGACTGTTGAATGAAATTTGTGGTTTTGCAGATTCTTTTGTAAACTAAATTGTTCTGCTTATTTTTGTATATAACACCTACATTTTGAAGTAAGAATGCTCTCCTCAATAGACTCAATTTTTATAGTGGAAATAGCATCCTGTAAATAACTGGAAGAGAAATACTAATACACTATGTTGAGGCTTCTATTTTCTCAGAACCATCTGTGACATTTATCACCAAGTGTGTTCCAGGTGTCTAAATAAATGCTGAATCCAATGTTGCAGGTAGAATAAGGTGCATATACTAAGGTGGCTTACATTCTTTTCTCTTTTTTCCTATTCTTTCCTGTTTTTCCTTTTTATTTTCTTTGTTTCTTTTCTCCCTTTATTTTTTTTAATTGTAAACAAAACCGTCAAAATTCCTAAGGTAACATAAAACTTCTTTTATGTTAAGAAAAAAGGTTTCAGACACATGACTTTAAATCTTTGAGTTTTGCCATCAGACCTTCACTAGATGTGCATCTTTGTGCTAGCTACAAGTTTTTAGTGTTGCATAGAGAGGTATGTGGTGTGGGATGTCTTTTCTTCCATAGTTCACCTTCTATTCCTTTTTCCTGTCAGGGTACAAAACCCCTATACAAATATAGCCTATTCTAGTCCATGTTCTCATTGAAAAAATACCTTGAGTTGTTAGAGTAAAGGTAGTGAGGTACAAATATTGATTGAATTGGCAGTATTCACAATATGAGTTTCAATATTCTAAAAGAAAAATGAATTAGAATATTCTGTGAGCAGAGTTGTACTCAGTGGCTCCACATGGTGGAGTTAGTGTACTTTATGTTTTGAACTGATCTGACAAAATCTAAACATGGTCTTGCTGCTGTGTGGAATTTCTAAGACATGTTTTTGTTTAAAAGAAGGCTCAGTATTAAGAAAACCATGTTTTACATTTGCAACAGGGACTAAGAGAGACAAAACATCCCTATACTTTTGTTTCCAAGGAGGGTTTTAAAGAATTACTTCTGGTAGAAGGTGCTGCTGAAAAAGCTATTCCCTTGTTGCCTCGTCTAGTTCCAGTCTTAAAGGCTGCATTGGTATGTCTTGCTCTTCATGCAGAAATTTTAATGGGTTTGATTTTTTTTTTTTCTTCTGCTGATGTGAACTACATGGGTAATAAATGTATCACATGGGCTTTTGGTTTGGGGGGTAGGAATGATTTCTCTTTCTGTTGTTAACTCTGCATTGATTTATAAGCTAAATATGTCTGTAAATAAAAATTAAGATGGCCAACTCCTTGTATGACAATAGCTATGGGAAAATTTTATGAAACTGTTCTTTTAAAGGTTTTAATATAAGCAGAAAGAAATATATGTATTTGTGGGGACTTTTTTTATATGTCCACACAGTAACATGCAAAAAATAAAAATTATGTGAAGTAAAATGGATATGCAGGAATAAATACTCATCTATTACATGTAACAATTCAAAACATGCTACAAAGGTAAAACAGAATCACAAAGTAAGGGACCCACAAGGATCATTGGGTACAACTCCCAGCCCTGCACAGCACCATCTCCAGAATATGTCAATGAGGAAGAAGGAAGAATGCATTTAAAGTGTTTGAGGTCATATTTTTGATTTTAAAAAATGTTTTTAACTCTTCTACACCATCAGAAAATAAAGTGAGATATTGGCTTTGAAGGTTATCTCTTTTGCATCTTTTTCATGTCTTTAGAGCCCTTTTCTGGTTCAGTAAGCAGCTGTCCCTTAATCTAGCTGTGTTTCAGTTCTGATTTAACAGAGGTGGCTTGAAGTTTGAAAATTTTTTGTGATCTCAAATTAGAGATATAACAGAAGTTCAGAATTGTGTGTTATCACTATCTTTGGTTTAGCTTAATGGCAAAATTAGAAAAATTGTTCTTGTCTCTTTCTCCAATTAATATTACTCTTCTGATAATTTTTATTGTTGCACTGTTTTGGTATTATGTCTTGTTAAATCTTCTACTAGACAAGCAGTCCATATTAGTTAAAAAGAAAACTTTCAGGGCCCAGATGATGTAGAAGAAAAAATAGCTGTTTAAATAAACTTATAATTTAGTATGAGACCAAAATAAGTTGTTATGAGTCTATCTCTCTGCTAAAGGAAGAGAGCAGCATAACTAAACCATTAGAGAGCAGCATAGCTAAACCATTAGAGAAGTCAGGTACAGAAGAATCTTCCCATGAGAGAAATAAAGATGACAAAGAACCATAGAAGTAGATAAGATGCTGATAACTGCTACCAGCTGTAGTTGGCAGGGGACTAAATTAATTGAGTAATTGGCTCCTCAGTTTCTCCAACAAAGAAAGTTATTGTTATGAATTACATAGAAATTACCCAGAATTCATTAAATTTTTAACTAAAATTGTGTCTCAATTTCAACATATCAGCATTTGAAAGGTTATTTCTAATATGCTGTGAAATACTGAAATTACCAGTGTAGCAAGCTTTTCTGCATGCCACATTTTTTGTTCCAGCAATAGTAAATTATTAGTTTTGTTCTCTCAGAAGTGCAAGAGTTTTGTGGACATTTCATGGATGCTTTTGTTTTCCACTTTAATAATATGCCTTGGCTTTAAATTTGGCCTCTAGAGACTAATATTCACTCATATTGTACTTCTATTTCTAAACTTGTATCATCATAGTAATTAGCAATTGCACAGTAGTTTTAGTGTTTAAAACTACTCCATACAATCATAATGCAGAGATTGCAGTTTAGAAAAAACTTATTTTGTCTGATTCTTACTCACAGGATTTTCTTTCTTTCTTCCCCTTCTGAAGGCCCATGCGGATGATGAAGTATTTGGAAGAGGATTGGATGCTTTAGTGCAATTGAGTGCTGTTGTTGGTCCATCTCTTAATGATCATCTTAAACTTCTACTCACAAATGTAAGTTTTTAATGCTGTAATAAAAAATCATTTGTATTTTCATGGCATTCTTGTTGAGAGATTACTATACTGTCTGCACGGATACAGTGGAGGACTCGGCCATTCCATGAAGAGCATTATTTCATACAGTCCCCAGTATGAGTACTTTGTTCTTTTATAATACTGTGACTTACAAAGTTCTGGCAAGGTCTAAAAACTGTTATTGATGTAAACTGGAGAATAATGGAAATATTTTCTTTATGATTTATGAAAACATCCAGATGTTTTCTTTTGGAGGAAAATGCATTGCAAAACGAGATTTTAATTTTAAGTCTGAATATCTTAGCAAAATTATGAACGTTTCAATACAGTAACATAAGCAAATATTCCTGTTCTTTTCAGATGGGGATTCTGCACAAGGAAGTTATCATTAAATAAGCTTTTAGTGGGATTATGAGAATTATTTTTATACCAAGTCATTCTGAGGACATCCTTCCTCTGTCAGACAGGGTTTTCATGGTTTTTAACCCGCTTGCAAAGTACACGTTTACAGCAAAGTAAAAGGACCTTTTTTGACAATCAATACAGAAGAGAGAAATTACAGCAGGGTTTTTTTTTTAAGTATATCTACTACAATAAATCTCTTTCAATGCACATGGAAAAATATTAATTTCTCATGTGGACAACTCTCTAAGAATGAATTTTTTTTTAAGGTGGATATTTCTTTCAAATTTGTTTGGTAAAAGAAAAAGAAATATTTTTGTGGATTAACAGATCAGTTTTCTTTGAATTTAAGTTTCTCTTTAGGTAACATTTATTCCATTTGCTTTTAGTGTGTTCCATACTTTGACATCAGTTACAAGTTATAAAGTTCTGTTTCTTTGTGGCTTTAATTTTGTGGAGGTAAGATGGAATAAAGTAACAAAATACGTTATTATTGCCTCTTTGCAAATATTGTACTATATTGTGCAACAAACCTTTTTGTTTTACTTTTCCAATAGCTTTTAAAGAGATTAATGGACAAGAAACATAGAGAAGAAGTTACTGTTGCTTTACAAAAGTTGGAGCACTGTGGAGGAAAGGTGAGTTGATCAGATGTTTATTCCGTAATCTACACTTTTGAATACAATTTTGTCAGAACAGCTTTCATCTCTGGTTTTGTTGCCATGTTCTTGCTTCAGTATGGCTGGGATACATGCTTGGTGTTCCATTTTCTGGGACTAAATATGTTTCTCAGAAAGATTTACTATTGCAAAAAAGTACTTTTTGCTGTTATTGATGATGCATGCCTGTTCCCACTAATAGTTTATTGTTTATGCTATTTCCTGAGGGAATCTGACTCACATTCCAGCCCACCCTGGTTAACCCAGAGTTTGGATCTGCAATGGCTATAAATCAAAGAAGATGCTTTAAGTAAATAGACGGCAGAGATTTCTTCTGTTGAACATTCTTTTGACAAATGTTGCACTGTACATTGTGCACAAAGGAGAAAAGGAGAAAAAATGAGGAGTACTGACTTAGATGTTCATCTAGAAGAGAAAACGTTTGCTTTATTGACCCTGTGAACAGTTGTATGTGTTATATTAAATGGTTATTCATGAAGAATAGGAATAACCTGAGGAGTAGGGAGCATACAGACAGGCCTGGCAGTACTGAGCTTGTGTGCCTTAGCCAGTAGGTGCCCAAATAATCAGTAGTTGCCTCTTCATTCCTGTGTGTGTGCTTATGTTCATTCAAGAGCAGTAGCAGTGTTTGTATTACAGACTTGAAAAACATCACAAAAAATGAAGGAAATGAAGGAGGATGAGAGTTCTTTATTTGTATGAAGTGAGACAAGAAAAGGAAAATTACAGCTTGTCTTAATATTCTGAAAATTTAGGTCTAGATATTTTAATTGATCCAGTGAGTCATTAACCTCTAATTCTTCTGTCAGTCCCAGATTTGTTGTAGTCCTACCTGTTTTGCGAGTAGGTCTTTCTATATATTTTTTAAAAAGACTGTAATAAGATAAAGCCAAAAAACCTCGAAACAAATTACTAAGTTGTGGTTACAAGCAATATATAATCCAGCCAATTAATTTACCAAATTTATTTTCTAAATTAGTTATGAGGCATATGATTCTTACTTTTGTTGGAAATCCCTTCCAGAACATCTTTCCTCTACATAAAAATCCTTATTATTTCATGTGTATATTATTTCATGTGCCCCCTTTTAGGTGTGAGTTTACATGTCCCTTATTTTGGATGTTTACTCACCAGCATTAGTTATCACAACAGTGCATTTTCTTAGTTCATTATTTTCAGCCCTTTTCACAGTAAATTTCTCAGCAAATGCTAACTTTTTAGCTTTCTAGTGTTTGATAATAGCAAAGATAACTTAGTAAAAGTTGTGAATTATGCAGTTTATAGAGACTATATGAGTACTGTCATATGTAGTGCTAGTGGCCCTTATTTTGTTTAAATTTGTTTTGTTTTCTTCAACAGGCAACTGTGGCGATTATCAAATCTAAAATTCCAACCTATTGTTCTATCTACTCTTGAACAAGGAAACTGTAGTGATTTATACTGTAAAGTGAAGTTTGGAAAGAAACTGTAAATATCACTGACACTTATTTGGGGTATGATATGTTCTCTTAAAATAATAATTATTCCTCAGTATGTTGGAGAGCAGGAGTCCTATCAGCTTGTGAATATGTAATTATGGAAGACTTTTCTTTGTATATTTGTATATGCATTTGTCTTACAGTGACACTGATTAATGTGCATTATTTCAAGAGCAGAATAAATATTGATTCTTATTTAGTTTTTAATTACAATTTCATTTATTATATCTGCAGTACTTAATATGTTGTGTATATTTGTGTGATGCAAAATAATTTTGTTTTAATTACTTAAATAAAATCTAACTTGGTGCTAAATTACATCTGTATAGCTGTTTTTGAAATACTTCTTTGTGACACAGCACAGATGGACACGTTTAGGTTCATTTGGACTAGGTTAGACACAGAACTGTGAGCCCTCTCAGACTTTTTCAGAGTCAGCTTTTAAAGGCATGAAGCTGAGCCCAGTAAACAGGCAGCATGTGGTCCAAAGCTGAACTTGCTCAGTGCATTCTCAGCATGTTGTTTTGAGAGCCTGGAGAGGCTCTGCAGAACACAGTGTAGAGGCATCAGGTTGCTCCACAGAGCCACAGCTGAGGTTTTGCTCAGCTAATTAGTTCCTGTTAACTTTGAGCCTACTGAATGGGAGCTTGGTGGGGGAGGCAGCTTTGGAATACTTACACTGTACTCTCTTTGCCTTGCGTTCAGTACCATTACAGATATGCTTGGGATTTGCTTGTGAATTCAGGTCCAGACAAGTTAATAAGCTTCTGAACATGGAAGCTATGAACTATATAAGTTAAAGACAAAAAGAAGATTGTACAAGCCAGTTTATCTGGCTGTCAAGCTTTGGAGGAGGGTACAGCATTTGTCCATTAATGTATTTGAATTTGAATGCAAAATAATTCCTAATTGGTTCTGGTAATAAATACTGTTGAGGGACATGTTGTATTTGTGTACACTGTCAGGGAGAGTTAACTGAAATTTGCACAGAATTTTTTCCCCTGAGAAATAGTCAATTCTGGCATTTAAAGTTGTTGTAAAGGATATTTTTTGTCATAAGATGCTGATGCATAGATTATTAATAAAAGTCCATCATGTGAGTGCAATTTCAGAAGTTTTTTTTAAATTACCATGGCCTGACTAAAATTCACTTCAGGACCAATCTCTGCCAAGATCAGAACTATGCTAAGTCAATATAAATGTATTTATGCTTTAAAAAAATAAATATATATATATATATATATTTCTTCAATAAGCATTTTTGCCAGCAGGTATTTAACAACTCAAAAAAATTGATCATGGTCCTTTTTTTCTTCATGTTTATTTTATTTTTTTTTACAAAATGTGCACATTTAGTTTACACAAACACGCTACAGCAGATTTCAGGTGTACATGTATTGTACTACTCTTATCCTACACTGGTGATAGCAGAGCAGCCTTCAACATGCCTCTAACATCCCATCTCTACACCAGAATAGATACCTGATTTATTTTTACAAAATTATTCTTGAAACCTTCTTCCTACTTCATTAATCCCCTTTCACACTTTCTGCAGCAATGTCACAATGAAGGTTGGCCTATCTGTTAGCATTTCACCTATTTTGAAGTATTGGCATAGACTCTGTGGACAATATATCTTAAAAATTATATGGATGGAGGGTCAATGTTATATTTTGTATGCATACTTTCTTAGAAGAATCTTTCTAGGTTCAGAATTAAGTAGTTCCAATCTTAATGAAGAAATGATCTTAAAAAATGTAACGCATTTATCACATATAGATGATATATAGCTGAAGTTTTCATTGTTTTCCAGGTTCTGTCCCATAGTTAATGGTATTGCAAAAAGATGAAATAGATGTTAGCCTCTAGCAGTCATTATTAGTAGAGGTTACTATGTAGTGACGTTCATTCTCAGCACTAAAGTGGGATGGCAGTTTTCAAAAGTTCATGCCTTTTTCTTCATTAAAGGCAGAAAAACACATACTTAGGAAAGCAGTGTTAGGATCCAGTTAAGTTTTCTTCATGAAAAATTGGAAGTCAGAAGATCCTTAATTTTCAGCAAATACTTCGCATACACATCCAAGAAGAATTAAAAACACAGTATGTAGGACTTCTGGTATTCATGTCATGATAAATTAAGTGCAGATTTATTAGGTGAGATTGAGAGAAGCTTAGTCATAATTTTTAGGGAATAAGAATACACATAATCAACTTGTTTGTTTTGTTTTGTTTTATAACAGTTCTTGCTCTCAAGTTACCTGTTTAGTTATGTTTGGGGTTTGGGTTTTTTTTTTCTGAAGAGAAAAACAAGTCAAAGTTGGAAGGCAATTATAGCAAGGTGTGCATCGCACATTTATTACAGCATTTTAACTCAAAATGTTATTCAAAAATGAGGACTACACTATAGAAATATGAGAAGAAAATAAATTGTAATACCTCTGTATAAATTAGAAGCTAGAGATTTAAGAAGTACGCTTTAACACCTGGAGCTTAGTCCAGTAAAAATGAGTAGCAAAACTAAGACTATTTATTTAATCTCTGTGTGACTGTATCTATTTTAACTAGGGGTTGAAATGATAATAAAGGTGCATAATGTCAGTTATATTTTGTCGGAGTTTGTAGTAAGGACCTGATTTTTCAGTACAGTCCTGTTAACTATATAGCCACTGTGGAAGTGCTAGATTGTAGAATTTAGAAAGAGGTTTTTTTTGGGAAGGGTATATAATAAAAAATTTACTTGCATAATACATGTCTCAGTGTAAAGCTGAGTAACTTTATTTATGGTAAAGTGGGAAATCCATTTTTTTATATAATGTTGCAGAATAGCTCATATTTGTCCATTAGTTGTAGACCTAATGTCTTCATTAAATCACATTTTCAAAGAGCTGCATGGATCGCATTATATTCTCATCCTGTAAAGAAAGACAACACATAACCAAAAATCACACACCGTTACAAATGCACCAATTACAAGTTGGTGGATATCTATACTGAATTGTGGTAGAACTTTTTAGTTAATTGCAACTTTTTTTTCAGCTTGTTTGGAGAAATGGTTAGCAGAAAAAGGTTGTTAATGAGTCCATTCTTAAATAAGCTTTTCTGTGTATTAATGAAACCAAAACTACTCTTTCAAGAATACAAAGCATATTAAGAAAATTAGATCTGTAACATTTCTGAGGTTATCAGTTTATATTCAGGATAACAGAATGCACCTAGACAATAAATACTGATGGAATAGTTGTATCAAGTTGAATCTGTATATGTAATTGCTAATCCTGTGCACAGTACACAGGATTCTTTTTGCAGTCCTAAGGCTTCTGCTTCATAGTTAAGGATGACTAAGAAAAATAGACTTAAGTGTGCACCTTTGCTGAGCCAAAATCAGTCTGTTTGACAAGTATCACCACATCACTCTTAAGCACCTCAATTCAGTTTTTGTGTGTGTTCACACTGAAAGATGGTGACTGCTTCTAAATGCTACTTCTGCTTTCTGATTGCTTTGCATTAGGTAATTTTTTAACAAAATATTAATCTTTCCAGTTCTGTATTATACTGATGCATCACTCTGTGCCCCAGATTTTATCAGTAGGTAACTCTCAGCAGAGCAGTTAGCAAAAAATATTTTTCTTTTTAAGCTTTACCTTTCAGTGTATAGAAGAAAAAGTTACTTGCAGTAGCCCATATTTATTGATGTTTCTGGATCAACAGTTGCTAGCACAAAACAATATATATATACAAAATAAAAGAATTTATTACAATCTCATTTAGCATTTGTAATGATCCATCTCTTTAGTACTTTCTTCAGAGATGATCTAGCCCTCTTTAATTTTAATGAATAAAAAGACTGAATTATAGATTATTTTTTGATGTTTCATGAAGAATGTGCATCAAAAACCCACTTCTTAGAAAGGCTATCTCAATAGTATTCTCCACTACTGATAAGTATGTGAGATTTCTGTACATTAATCTTCCAGTAACACGTGTTCAGTATCAATTTCCAGTTAAATTAGTCACTGTTTAGTCTAGTGGGTGATTTGCTTTGTAGAAAATGACAAGTCTGAGTAATTAGCTTAATTTATGTTATGAAACATGCACAGTGGGGTTTTTTATCTTTTATTCTCTATGTCATCTGAAGCAATGCTGCTGTAAGGAATGATCTGTGTGCTATTTTGTACAATAACTTGCAATGATATGTCATTTCAAAAATACACTATATAGGCTAATGCTTGAAAATGTTGTATAGCAAAGCTACTATATTAAATTACTGAAAGTTAAAATAAATTATCCTTTTCCTCAATGCATTGCTTTGAAACCTCAACTAGTGAATGTCACTGAGGTTAACTGTTTAACCTAAGTCACTTGTCATATAATGAGTACAAATGTTTTTGTATATACATTAGCAACTAAGCTCAGTAAATGTGCAAGCAAACAACATGCTCTGAATCTGCTAAATGTTTTGACACTTCTATCAATTTTACTACATATGTATCATCATGAATGAAACTGGTAGTTTTCTAAAATCAACTCCATATTTCTGAGGCTGGCTGTTTCTTTACAGAAGACTTCCAGTGGCACTCCCTTAGTCAGTCAAATTAGAAGAGTCTTCACAAGAAAACACAGTCTTGTCATAATATTTAGAACATGATAAGTTTAAGTAGCTTTTTTTTTGCCATCTTTAAAAAAAACCACCAAAAACCCAGAAAAACCCCAGAAGCTTGCATTGGAATTCCTTGGCAAGTGTATCTTTTTCATTTGACTCTTTTTTCAGTACATTTTCTACACAAATTTTCATATTAGACTTGTTAAACAGTTCCTAATTCAAGACAAAGGGAGGTGCTAGTGCATATGAAGCATTGTCCATATGAAGCACAAACCTGGATGAATGAACTTTGGCAGATCTGGCCTACCTTTAAGCCAGTTTTTCATAGATCTGAAATGGTTTCTCTGCTGTTTTCAGGATAGCCCAAACCATCAACACTGAGTATGGGAAGGGTTACTCCAGCAAAAAACACCTGTGCCAGAAGCCTTGTTGTCATTATCAGAAGGACCTATGTCATTCACCCTGACAGTCACCCATGCACTGTGCATGCCTTAGTCCTTTGACTGTTCTTTGTGGTGCTGCTGTCGATACGAGGCAGTGCCTGAGTCAGACCATTTCCCATTGGCACCAGTCAGTGGAAGGAGGCAGGTAAGGAACTGGGAAGTGCTTAGTTCTTGAGGTACCCCCACTCTTGTTTCTCAAGACCTAGATCTGCTCTTTGGTAATTTACATGAAGCCAGACAAACAGCCACCACTTTCTGGGACTCAGTCTGGCATGTCTAGGGCAACATAGTCTATTTGTAGCTCTGTAGTCTATTGTGTTAGTGACTAGTTTTGCCAGTACTTTTCCATGGCCTTTCCATAAGCAGAAACACAAAACAAATTCCAGAGCTCCAAGCCCTGGCGGGTACAAGGCCCCTATCCTCCCTTGGTTCTTCCTGGGAACCAAGGCTGAGAACAACTCTGAGATCCATTCTCATGGACAAAG